TGGAGTTTCTGCTTCAGCTGGTGCAGTTTCTGGTCCACGCGGTACAGTCGCCGCTCCAGATGGTGTAGTGTCTGGTGGAGGTGGTGCAGTTTCTGCTTCGGGCAGTGCAGTTTCTGGTCCAGGCGGTGGAGTTTCTGCTTCAGCTGGTGCAGTCTCTGGTCCAGGCAGTACAGTTGCTGCTCCAGGCGGTGTAGTGTCTGGTGGAGGTGGTGGTGCAGTTTCTGCTCCGGGCGGTGGCGTTTCTGCTTCAGCTGGAGCAGTCTCTGGTGCAGGTGGTACAGTTGCTGCTCCAGGCGGTGTAGTGTCTGGTGGAGGTGGTGGTGCAGTTTCTGCTCCAGGCGGTGGAGTTTCTGCTTCAGCTGGTGCAATTTCTTCTCCAAGCGGTGCAGTGTCTGGTGGAGGTGGTGCAGTTTCTGCTTCGGGCAGTGCAGTTTCTGCTCCAGCGGTGGAGTTTCTGCTTCAGCTGGTGCAATTTCTTCTCCAAGCGGTGCAGTGTCTGGTGGAGGTGGTGCAGTTTCTGCTTCGGGCAGTGCAGTTTCTGCTCCAGGCGGTGGAGTTTCTGCTTCAGCTGGTGCAGTTTCTGGTCCAGGTGGTGCAATTTCTGCTCCAAGCGGTGCAGCTTCTGGTGGAGGTGGTGCGGTTTCTGCATCAGGCAGTGCAGTGTCTGCTCCAGGCGGTGGAGTTTCTGCTTCAGCTGGTGCAGTTTCTGGGCCAGGTGGTGCTTTTTCTGCTCCAGGTGGTGCAGTTTCTGCTGCAGACGGCGCAGTTTCTACTGGTGCTGGTGCAGTTTCTGCTCCAGATGGTCCAGTAACTGCTGCAGGTGGCGTTGTTTCTGCTCCGGATGGCCCAGGTGCCGCTGCCGGTGTTGTAGTTTCTGCTGCAGATGCAGGCCATGCAGTGAGTTCTGTTCCAGGTGCAGGTCTTTCGCCAGGCTCTGTTCCAGGTGCACTTCCTGCTGCTTCTGTTGCTGTTCCTGCTGCTGCCCCTGCCAAAGAAGAACCGGATGGCAGTGTGGACGGCAGACGCGTGGCCACGCTGCCTGACGTAGGGGGCAACACGACAGCCAATGCTGTTACCGCTGGCAACAGCGAAGGCGGGAAGACACACTCCTCCCCACCGCTTCCTCCTCTTCCTCCTCCTCCTACTTCTAAGATTGCTAATGCCACTGTAAGCACTAATTCTGTCAGTGCTGCTGTTCTCCCTACTATGTCACAGCCCGCTTCTTCCTCTGGACATCCGGCGGAGCATGGCATTGCAGAGATGCACAGCAGCGCATCCAGAGGAGTTCAGTTTGCTCCCTTGCCATCTAACAGCAGGACGGATCAGAACGGGCAGCAGAAGATGGAGGGAGTGGGCTCTCGCCCTGATTCTTCCTCCCATTCTGGGACAGATCCAACTGGGACTAACCAAGCCACTCCGGGACTCACTGGCACAAGTCCTTCCCGGGCAACAATGTCCTCCCCCTCCCCTGTGCAAGGGTCCCAGAAGGAAGATGCGTCTGGCCCCAGCGTAGCCAAAACGGGGTTGATGGGTGTGAAATCGGCGTTGGCAGGTGATGCACAAGCAGGCGGGCAAGGAGGGAGCGAGTTTGGCACAGCGACCGTGAACAGCAGGCAGACCTCGGCACCGTCGAACGACATCCTGGAAGCATCAAGTGTGGCCAAGGGTAATGCTAAGGAGGGGGAGCAGGAAGAGAAGCAGAGAGGGAGAGGTGGAGGGAAAGTGGCAGAGAAGGGTCTGGAGGAGGAAGCCAAGGACGAAGAAGAAGCACGTGATGCTGAGCAGCCACCTGACATCATCACCACCATCAATGTGTACACCGGAGGGGCTGATGGTTTGCTTCTTAATTGGTTGTCCAACACTCAGCACAGCTACAACTTGTTGACCATCAACGAGGAGATTTCGGGGCATGATGGCTCTATCCTCAGCATCGATTACTGCGAGGACCTAGACTTGCTGATCACAGGATCAGAGGATCGCACCATTCGGATCTGGAATCTGGATGGGAAACGGTTTCTTCCCAGTGGCGATGGCAATCCGTTCGAGGGGAACGTTCTGACTGGCCACGCGGATCGTGTGGTCGGAGTGGTCTGCTGCAAGGAGCAGGTGCTTGTCAGCGTCTCTCATGACATGTCCATTCGCTGGTGGGACCTCAACACGCGGCAGGAGACGCACGCGGTGGAGAAGGCGCACAACACTCCGATCACATCTGTGGCATACAGCGCCGATCGAGACGAGCTTGCGACATGCGCTTCGGAGCCCTTAGCTAAGATCTGGTCCAGCGACACCTACTCTCTAAAGGCCACGTTGACAGGTCTACCGGGTGACATAGCCAACGTCAAATGGAGCAGCATGCAGAAAGGGATCTGGGTGACGGGGGCAGACGATGGCACGGTGGCCATCTGGTCAGCGGAAACCGGGAAGCCTGTAACCAACACCTGCTTCACGGGGGAGTCAGTCACATGCCTCTGTGTCGACGAGATCAACGAGGTCATCCTTGCTGGCATGTCCAGCAACCTCATCCGGGCCCTGGACATCGATCTGTCCACCACTTTACGCGTTTACGCAGGACATTCGGATGCCATCCGATGTATAGTGCACATCAAGGAGAAGGCGCAGTATTTGTCAGCTTCCTGGGACAAAACGCTGCGAATATGGCTGGCCTACAAGACGAAGAAGAAGGAAGATGCATGGAAAGACGACCCCAACTTCAAGGAGGGAATGGAAAATGTTTGGGCAAGGGGGGGTGCGATGGGGAACATAGGGGGTTATTTCCTGGAGGAAAGTTGCCCTCCCCAAGAGCAATACATCAGCAACTACGAGAGGGAGCATCCCCTCGTCTATCCGAAAACGATGGTGTCCTATGTTGGCTTCACCGTAAGGTTGGGGAAGGGTCCCAGCAGAGGACTGGGGTATGCCGCAAGGGACATAGGGGACGAAGTGGACGGGAGGGAGGGGCAATCCGTTACCACGGCCGGGGGCCCTCTCACTGCCTCAAAATCGGAGACCTCTCTGAAATCCTCCTTACCTGGGGGAGCCCAAAACCAAGAACCCTTGCCTCCTAACTGCCCCGAAATACTGGAGGCGAGGCTTGCGGAACTCGAGAAGGCTCTTCTTGCCCAGTTCTATTCTATCCCAGACGACCATAGTCAAGGTTCTACAGACGATAAGATACTGAATGGGAAGAGAGCCAGAAACGTGGCGTCAGCGTCCCATACCAAGGGTCGCCGGCGGAAAAACTATGCCGCAGCCAAGTCCCCTGTGAAACAAGCAGCGCGTGCCACCCGTGCGGCGGCTGTGTCCTCTCCAAGTCGTCGAGGCAAGCGCAGAGGCAACCGCACCAAGCCACGATGAAAATCTGCGGGACAGGTCACACGCCATATCCATGGAACGGCTCAAGCCTCTGCTCATACTGCTAATTTTGAAGAGATTCCAGCCACCTCCCCATTTGTCGCAAACCCTTCTCAAAACATGCAGCACATACTGCTGCTGCTGCTGCCGCTGCCGCTGTGTGTTTTTGTCCAACTCCTCGAGGCCATGGAATGGCATGGATTTGAATACAATACGGTAATAGAAAACACAAAAGCCTGCCAAGTCACAAGGTGAGGTTAAGGCACCATTCAACTCTGCCTCACAACACCCCTCAACGCCACCAACTACGCAGCACCAGTGCGCGATAGTATGCTAAAAGACCACGAAAACCAGCTCATGAAGTCCCGCCGGGCCGCCGCCTCTCCATCTAATGCTAAGCAAGTGACACAGTCTGCATGTCAAGACTTGAGGGAAGTTGAGACACAAAAGCAGGTCACACACCATTATCCATCAACCCACTGGCTTTGCACACTTGCCATGCAGAGAGAGCTTCCATGTGGAAACAGTTTGTCTTACCCCAGGTTCAAGGTCACGTTGACTGGGGTTGGTGAACACCTTGACCAAAAGCTAACCAGAGGTGGAAACAGTTTCCACATGGTTCCAGATCACGTTGACTCGAGCCGGTGAACCAGACTCAACCTGAATGAAGCCTAACCCCAGGTGCAAGCTGACGCCCGCAACAGAAGTCGACAGATGGACCGCAGGTTGTGGCAAGGGGGATGGCCTCCAGGCATTGGTTCTTGTAATAGGTCACCAAGTTTGGCAAACGTGTCGTATGGAATCATGATCGATCGGAGTGTGGAAGGGACGATGATTGCTTTGCTGACTCGCTCCCGGGAGTTCAACTTTCTCAAACCACCAGCACCTTTCCCAGCTATGAAAAGAAATATGCGGCTTGCATGCAGGCGCAACTTTCGGCGCTTGCCTGCTGGAGCAAAATGGCTGGTGGCGTCAGCTAAAAGGAGGCCCGCACCGGTTCGCCTTTCTTTGGCGCACAGCGTGTTTCCAGCCGCAGAGAAAAGCGCCACAGAAGTACTGTTTTTTTTTTTTTAATCAGTACATTAACTGCCAAGTCACCGACCAAGTAGTCCATGCAAGAAGAGCAATGGTATCTATACCTATAGCAAACCAAGAGAGACCGCAGACGAATAGGGTTGGGGTATGATGTATGACAACAGAGCCAAGTACTGAAGTTCTGACAGCAAAAAACGAGAGCACGAGCATGCTTTAAACTTTTCAAGAAGGACAAACGAGCAGGGTACAGGGAGCTATAAGGGGCGGAATCTGGGACACGAGAAAGGGTGGTGAGGGTGGGCTCCTTCCGTGAGCCTCAAGTCTTTTCTGCAGTTTATGCTGAGGAGGATGGATGGACATGGCCCATGAGATCTGTACTCACTGAAGGGCACAGCAGACATAGCGACAAAGCGACAAAGGGACAAAGAGGCAAAGTGACAATGAGACAAAGGGGCAAAGAGGCAACGTGACAAAGAGACAAAGGGACAAAGAGGCAAAGTGACAAAGAGAAAGAGACAAGTAGGCAAAGTGACAAAGAGACCAAGGGACAAATAGGCAAAGTGACAAAGTGATGATGACACAGAGAGAGAGAAAGAGAGAAGAGACAAAGAGAGAGAAAGAGAAACACAAAAAGAAACACGAAAGAGAGAAAGAGAGAAAGAGAGAAAGAGAGAAAGAGGGAAAGAGAGAAAGAGAAAGATTTCAGGCTGGGGCTTGCGGCTTTGAGCATTGGTATACATGTACTTTCATGGTGTAGAATAAAATAACGGAACCCTTCAGATCTTTAGAACCTTTGATGATCAGGAAGGGAAGGACAACCCCGATTGTCAAAAATTTTGGGGAGAGGAGATGGACGGCAATACAAAGTGGAGCAGGTGGATGGGGTAGGAATACCCATCCTCTTGGCTATGAGATCCGGTTGCAAGCTCTTCGTTTCATAATAGCATCCCACTCAATTTGTCAGCGTAGGGTCGTCTTCACCCTAATCCAACATACGGTCATTATAGCTGTATATTTGGGGCAACTTTGAGTCTAGATGCAGCAATAATTACCATGCATTGTATTCGGGCGCAGACGGTAGTTAGAGAAGGGTGCAAGAGTCAGCTATAGGATTCTAGCGCTGTGCTTGGGCAGAGGAGGAGCCTTATTTTCCAGCCTTGAGCACTTGGCCGTTTCTGAGGGTTCTTTTCCCCTCTCTATTTTGACGAAAAACTTGAGGTTTTACGACATCCTGCCACCCCAAGAAGACCCTGGTTTTCAGGACTTGCTCATTCATGTCGAGGGTCCGTCTAATATCGGCGTCTGTTGGTCGGGAGCATCACCTACTGGGTAGAGGAGGGTGGAAGGTTTGGATTTGGATCTTAGTGATGGCCTTGGGGGGGCACCAGAATGGCTTTGCTTCTGGCGCCTTGAACATTGTGCTGGATCTTCGGGGTCTGTTTGATTGTTTGTAGGCCTCATCAGTTAGTAATTATGTTGACACCGACTAACTTCATTAAGTCGCGATAGTTATTATATTGAGGGTGAAGTACAGAAATAGGCTCAAATAGCCCCTTTATATTTGAAAGGACACAAATTAGCCCCGTCGCATGCATCTGGGCTCGTTTTAAGTGTAAAGACGGACCCAATTCTAGAGAAAGGGGGCACGGTGACTGGCCAGGAGACAGGGGAAACTGGAGGCGTCCACACGTGCTGACTAAGAGGACAAAACGAAAACAAAAAAGTCAAACCGTCTAAGTTGTCTAACATGTGTGAAATGATCTGGCTTTTCTATTTTCACTGTTGGTGATTTTACTGGAGTAACTGGGTGATGATTTGGGGCCATGTCAACTCCAATGAGGATGCAGCAAATGCCTGATGATGGGTTTAATGAGATGTCCACCGAAGAGGAAGAAGAGGCCCGGGCCTCAGGGGAGAGGATGCTCGCGAAGTTCGGGCGCAAGTTACAGAACGCGGGCGAAACATCATCCCTAATTCCGTGCCTGCGAGGTATCCTCCAATTTCTGGCAAACGTGCTATGCGACGTGTCGTCCGCTGTGGTAAGTCTGCAACACACCTCTGATGATTACAAGACATGCCACCGGTTTCTCAGCAGCATTAGGGCGAGACTCATGAGACTCGAGCATCTGCAAGCAGAGGATGAGTTGAAGTTGACGCCAGAGACCTATGAGGGGTTGGAACAAACCGAGGAGGCATGCGAAGAGTCGGAACCAAGCGATGAGATGGAACTGACTGAAGCGTCGGAAGAATCGAGCGAAGAGGCGTGCAAAGAGCTAGAATCCGGCGAAGTGGCATGCCAGGTCGCAGAGGGCGAGGGCGAGGGCGAGGCATACAAGGACTCGATCTCGATAGCAGCAGACACGACATGTGAGGGCTCTGAAACCGCAATCCAAGGGACTGGCTCAGTCGAAAAAGCTGTCGGTCTGGTGGATATTGAGGACTGGGCTGTGGAGGAGCTCCTGGCAAAGGCCCGCCTGATTCGAGAAGAGGCAATGGGTAAGCTCTCCCTAACGGGCATGGTTGCCAGGAGACGGACGGACTCAAACACGGCTAGGGGTGTGAGTGTCAGAAAAACAGAGGCCAACTCTTTGGGAGGAGGGGGAAAGAAGCAGCCTACCAAGCTGAAGAATTATGAGGGACATAGCAGTAGCAGTAAACGGACAATGGCTGCAGTCAGGAGAGCGAAAGGCGAAGAGGAGGAAGCATCCAGCAGAGAGTTGTCGCATGGAGGAGGAGGAGGAGGAGGACACAGATCAGGAGAGGGAGGAGGGAAAGGCCTAAGAGGTGGTGTGGCAAAGGAGGGGATAGAATTGAGAGGCGGAAGAGGGTCCTTACCATTGCGGACGGAGAGCGGCAGAAGTGGACATTTGGGAAGAAAGAGCTTCCGCCACCCTGTGCAGAATGAACTAAGATATGAAGATAGAGAGAGCAGGTCGGGAGTCTCTTCGGAGGTGAATCCCATTCCCGCTAGCCGGAACAAAATCGTTTTAGGAGTTGGTGGGACGGTCAAACCTGTTCCAGCCAGACACCGCAACACTGTTTCATATCTGCTAGGTGCGTCTCGAGGGGTTAACGGTGTAGCGAAAAAGATGTCAGGCAAAGATGAGCTCCTTCGACATCACAACAAAAACTATTCTGGCCATTCATCCACGTCCGAAACGGCGGAAGGGGGTCGCATCAAGCTCATTCCATCAGCAGATGAACATGAAGCCCCCCCTCTGGTTTCCTCAGGACCTCTGGTCTCAGAGGGCTCTTTGCGGATGAGAATGAACAGATGCAGGCAGACGGCGGAGGATGGGCAGAGCGAGGCCAGGGCAGCTAATGCGCAGGTAGAGGGGAAATTGGATGCGAAAGCTGAGATTGAAAGACTTCTTGTCTTCCCACATTCATTTCAGACTCTGCTGACAGGTCTAGAACCCGGCTTGTGCAATACACAGGCAGGTTGCAAGCCTGACGTCTGTCGTCAGCGACCACAGCGGCGAGCACGGGATCATCGTTGTGATAAGAACGACGATCAAACGAACAAAGGGCAGGCAAACGACGATATGCCAAGGAACCTTCGAGAAGACTATCGGCGAAGGTTTATGAGACGGCTGCAGGAAACGTGCACAAGCGGAGCGGCCAAAAGAGACCGATTTGTGCCTGCTGGAGGCCCTGGAGATGGCGATCGTACGGAGAGGAAAGTGGTTCAAGCGTTAAAGTTGCTGCAGAGATTGGCGGGACTGTTCTGTAAGTTGAAGGACATAGACATCCATGAGTTGTCGACTTCCTATCGCTTTGCTCCAGAGCGAAGCTTCATTGCCAGCCATCTTGACCGATGGCTCAAAGCTCTGAATGACGTAGAGGCAACACCATTGGATGGAAATGCAGATAATAACTCGCAGAAGCTCAAAACCAAGCGATCAAACTGCAGCCACAGCGGCTATGTCCGCTCGAACCGTTGCCTACGGGGTTGCTCTAGTTCGAACCCGAGTACGCCATTGGTATGTAAATCGTGGAATCAGTTCACGGCCTCGTCTCCCTGGCTTCCAGACGTCTTGTCATCTCTTTCTAAGGCAACTGGTCTGCAAAATGATCTTCTTGAGCGATGTAAAGCGATTGTCGCAAGAAAAAGTCCTTGCCAGGCAGCAAGTACTGTCCCGCTGATGGGACTAAGCAATTTGATTGTGTATTCGACCTTGGAGGAAGCGGCTACGCTGGTGCAGTTGAGGCATGCCGTCGAGGCACTGCTGTTCTACTACCACTTTGAAACTGTCGTCGCTGCTGCAATTCTGCCCCAAAACAACACGCCTCCTCTCAATCCGACAAGCGCCTTTCTAGCGCACTGCCAACTTGCTCATGCTCTCCTCTGTACGGAAGGCAAGAGACTTTTCAGCCTAGCATATCGTGGCCTACCATCAGGCTGACAAGTGGCTTACCATCAAGCTGACAAGTGGCCTGCCATCAAGTTGGTTGACACGTGGCCTCCCATCAACTTGACATGATGCCTGCCATTGACTTGGCATGTGAACACTGAACTGGATGTGCCCATCGAGTTCACGTGTCACACCCGCCATAGAGTCAAACACATGGTGGCCTTCAGTCGACTTGAGGCACTCCCTGCCACTCTCAAGACAAGTGACCTGTCAGACATCTCTTTTTTTTTGTATAAGAGATTTCTTCTGAAAGAAAAAGAGCGATTTTCTCAAGAGCTCAGTGGACGTCTAGAGACTGTGGTCCATAGATGGGAATCCCAGGGGAACCCACACTTTGACACTCTCCAAAAACCTGCGAGAAAATCCGGAGAAATCTTTTCTAAAGTTTTTTCTTTCGGAAGAGATGCACGAAGAGCTAAATCGATTTCTGGATATTTCTGGTCTGCAGACACATGGAACTCCAGAACCAGAAGAGGAGTCCAAATCCAAAGGCGAGAAAGTTGAACACGTGGCATGCTATCAAGTCGACGCGTGACCTGCTGCCGAGCGAGTTGCCAGCTGGCATGGCATCGAGTCAGCACACATTCTTCGTCAATGTTCCTAAACCTCTCAGAAATCTCTTTTGGAAATGATCGCTATTTTAGAAAAAGAGATTTTTGAAGAGTTAAATACGCCTGTGGAGGTTTCGGGGTGTCAAATAGATGTCTACCTTCTTCCGCCGAATAACACGTTCGTCTTATGGTCATTTTCGCTGCGACTGGACAGCAAGGTGGTTCCAAACATGGCTATAATGACTGTGCGTTACATTCGGGGGAAGACCATAGCTTCAAAGAAGATTGAGAAAAAGAATTGCAGACCACAGACCAGAGAGATTACGAAGCCAAAAAAGTGGGATAGTAGCGAGGGGGCGGCAAAGACGCTCATGACAAGTCCTCGGGGATGGGTGACCTTACCCAGTTGCAGGGCTGCTGACAGCACACGGCCCATAAAGCTCGTCAGCAACCCCTCGTGCAGGAAGCTCCTTTCTGACCGAGCTTTACGTCGGAAGTATTTCTGAACGGTTAATCGGCCTCTTGAGGATTTCTGGTGCGTACGTAGATGGGAAAATCAGAGAGATGCAGATCCACAGACCAGAGAGATTATGAAGTGAGAATTGCAATGGTAGAGGTCTGGAAAGGGTTGAAGTCTGAGAGTTGAACCAATGGGCCTAGCTCAGTGGGTACACCCAATGAACTGTTGAAATACAGACCCAAGTTCGAATCCAGCTGCGATCAGATGAACAGAATAAAATAATTCTGAATTACCTGGGGGAAGGGAAGGGGAGGGGGGGGGGGAGAGGGGGAAGGGTTTGCGAGTTTGGAGGAGATGGAAGGAGAAAGATGGCGATGAATGCGAGGCAATGTGTGAACAGCGAGGTGGCATTGCGTTTTGAGCTGAGGCAAGGCTGAGGCAGGCACTACCGTCTTCCCCCGAATGCAACGCACCCTCACCCTCATTTTGACTGTATCGGACTGGAAAGTTAACTTGTATACGTTCATTATCAGAGTGCATAATGTTCGGGGGAAGACACTAGTGTCTTCAAGGGTGTCTCCCACAGGCACAGGCACAAGCACATTCTCCCCTGCATCAACTAGGCAGGTGCAGGGCTTGAGACATTGTTCCGCACGAGTTCAAGGGCTTAGCATGAAGCGTGTGAGTGCCGTCTTCACCCGAACAGAAAGTCCGGTCATTATCACTGAATCTAGACTGAAAATTGCCTCGAATAGAGCTAAAATGACCGTACGTCCTATTCAGGGGACTACGCTTCGCTGGGATCCCTATGGGCAATCTTGTGCTGAATCATGACCATCAACAGTGGTAGTCTGAGCTCTGTTCAAATGGGACGCTGGACCCGTTTTCCAGCAGGTGAAGCTCCCCACCAATAGCTGGAGCAGCCAGCAGAAGGCCCTACTAGGGGAGGTTGCTCATATCACACCACCTAGTAGACCCGGCTGGAGTTCTCCGGAAAAAAAAGGGAAAAAAAAAGGTCTTAGCTCTTGGCAGGTAATGCTAGCAAGACTTGATTGGCATCCCTCAGCGGCCAGATTGTGCCTCCCCCTCCTCCGGGGCATGACTCAGGATTGCGCCGGCGTTTCTCTCGATGATCTTCATTAGCTTTGCCCATCTTACTGCAGGGCTTAGGAGTACCTCACAGAGCTGGCTGCCGTGCAAGCGGCGGGCTGGTCGCAGTCAAGGTAGCGGGGAGTCGGGGACCCAGACGCCACATGGTCAAAATATTTGCTTGATATGAGGAATTCAGGACAAGATTGCACTTCTCTGTAAACGGAAGGAAATCATCTCTCTCTCTCTCTCTCTCTCTCTCTCTCTCTCTCTCTCTCTCTCTCTCTCTCACACACACACACACACACACACACACACACACACACACACACACACACACACACACACATACACACGATCATGTGTGCACTGTGCACACAAGAATGTGCTCCCACATTACCTAAATAAATACACACACTAGGATTGTGGGGTTAGGTGTCAGTGCAGCTGACCAGGTACTGCACCCTGGTCAACACTCAGTTTGACCAGAGTGTGAGTGAAAGTTTCCTGCATGGATTGTGAGGTTATTGTTAATTATGGGGGACTCAGGGGGAGGTGTTTGGTTCGACGCAAATCAGATGCGTCCTGAGGACGTGGACGGAGTTTACCTCCTGATAATGAGCTTCCATGAAACTCTATCGGAGCAATGCTTTCTGTGTGGAGTGCTAATTACAGCTTTCATGACAGTATAGAGACAAGCTGATGCTTGCATGCCTTTTCTGTGGAAGATTGTCCCTGGCAAGCACAACTAGACATACCAAATAGTGAGAGAAACAGGCACACCTTCTCAGAGTCCTCCCACATATGAAAACTATGCTCTCTCTCTCTCTCTCTCTCTCTCTCTCTCTCTCTCTCTCTCTCTCTCTCTCTCTCTCTCTCGCACACACCCACCCACACCCACACCCACACCCACACCCACCCACCCACACACACACACACATACGTCAGATGACTTGGTGAAAGTCCGATGAAACAGTCTGGCACAATCATGCTTCTTTTGTGGACTTGTGTGTGGCGAACATGACAACGCACCCACCCAAACACAAACACAAACAAGCAAACAAGCAAACAAGCAAACAAGCGGACAAATTCCTGTATGGGAATCTCAAAATGGTATAGGCATAAAAAGCCGTTGAGGTTAACAACATGGTGTGAACCTATTTTGAAGTCAAATGTGCTTACCAAGCTGGATTTTTAGATTTACAATTTCATGCCCATGCATGTGACACAGCATCATCCCCTCCCCTCCTTGTTGCCAGCTGTACTGCATCAAGGTCGACTCGTAAGTTCAAATTTTACAAAAAAGAAAAGCCTATGCCCACAAATAATAGGAAATTGGAGTTAACCATCAGTTGTTCCCAACCTCCTTTTCCCCATGCGGATTTTCGCTGGGCCCTCAGAAATCAGAACCATCATGGGGCGCGATTTGGTCCGGTGCTGCTACCCTTTTTGTGGCGGTGCGGTGCGCCTTTCCACAGGCCCGTGTTTACCAGCGGGCATTTTTCAAAGGTTGGCCTGACAATTGGCGGCTTAAGGAAAAGCCTATGTTTATCAGCACAGTGGGGCATCGGGCTGTGACCGAACTGCTGCTAAAGCCCACACCCACTCACACTCAAACCATGGCAATAACGCATGTGAAGGCCTCCCCCCACCCCCACCCCCACCCCATGTGGAGGGTTTTGTAACTTTTGTCCTTGGTGCTTGCTTTCACAGTCCAGGGGCACGGTTCTACTAGCTGCAGGATAAGATAGAAGTTCATAGAACATAGACACCCGCCTCACTGTGTGACCGTCTCAGGCCATGGGATGGCCAGCTATTGAATGGTGTGAGTCGGTGACATTTTTTATTGCCCTTTTTTTAGCTTTCCGGGCTTACCAGGGATTTCGATGCACTTTTGAAAATGAAAAGCCGCCCACCCATTGGTCCAGGTGCCTGAAAACATTTCATCAGCCTGACCCTGTCGGTCCCTACCCCGAAGGAAGTGTCGGTCAAGACAAGTCAGGGTGGAAATAACCCATGAATAGATTGGAGCCAAAAAAAAAAAAAAAAAGGTTGGATAGACGCGAAAGAAGAAAAAGCCAATATACTTGGAGGCACAGATGGTGAGAGTACCAACTGGCCTAGCTCAGTTGATAGACCCCCCCTGAACTGAACTGTTGAAATACAGACCCTTGTTCAAACTCCACTGGAAGCAGGTTAGTAAAATTATTACTAAATAGTAAAAAATACTAAAAGTACTACAGTAATTCTGAATTACCAAGGGTCGTCAGCTCGATGATAATATGTCAAGGCCATCGCCCTTTATATATATAAAAAGAAAGGGAAAATTGCATCTGTAGAGTCTGTAGACTCTGTACCCAACTTAAAGATGGGAATACCTGCTATACCCAGTCGAGCGCCCAACTTGCATCTATACCCAGACCCTGTCCAACTTAAGGTAATACCCTACTTTTCCTGTGTGCCAACTTATAGGCATACCCAGAACCACAGGCCCTTGGTTGGGGAGCACAAAATTATGCTTATGCGCAGGAACCAGGCAGGCAATATTGGGTATGTGCATAATTAGCATTCCGGTAGTTGGGTATAACTGCAATTTGGCGGTACCAACCTCGGCCCTCCTCTGTCCTGGGTATACAAATAATTTGCACCGACAATTTCCGGGTACGGATGCAAGTTCGACACTGGGTATAGCGGGTATTCCCATCTTTAAATGGGGTACAAATTTACAAAATTACTTTTTTTTTTTTTGTGATTCAGATATTAAAATAATTAAACTGATCAGAACAGAATCAACAAATACTAGTATTATACTACACTTGATCTATTTTTAGCTAGGTTACCAGATCGGACGTCCGGGACCCCCCTGACTGT